CAGCAAAAATAGGGGCTGGAGCAATAGTATAGTGGGAAGCATGTTTGTCTTACACACAGCTGACCTGGGTTCGATTGCTAGCATCCCATTTGGTCCCCTGTGCACTGCCAGGAGTAATTCCTGAGTGCAGAGCCAGGAGTAGCCCCTGAGCATTGCTGGGTGTGACCCAAAAAAACAAACCAAACAACTAAACAATAAACACAAATTTCTTTTAAAAAATCAAAAATAGAAAGCTGAGTTTAGGCTTTTAAAATATTATTTTTCCATTAATCTGAAATAATAATTGCATCACTATACTTATAGTAGTGTTATTCAATAGCGGAGACTTTTAAAATATTTTACATATTTTTCACAATACTATTACTAATGGTTTCTCCTGCATATAATTCCAACCCATCCCCGGCTTTCCCCCCAAACCCCAAATCTCCTCCCTCACATCTACCCATTAACTTCCTTATGTTGATCAGTTCTCCCATGATGTTGTCTTTGCACCTTTGTTGCTACCTTGCTGTGTATCTTCAAGTCCCACATATGAAAGATCATTCTATATCTAACCCTTTCCACCTGTCTTGACTCATAGCTAAAACTTTGATTTTTTGGCTTTTTGGGTCACACCCAGCAATGTTCAGGGGTTACTCCTGACTCTGCACTCAGGAATTACTCCTGGAGGGGCTTAGGGGACTATATGGGATGCCGTGGATAGAACCCAGGTCAGCCATGTGCAAGGCAAATGCCCTCCCCGCCGTACTGTCACTATGGTCACTCATAGCTAAGACTTTGAATTAGCCTAAACACCCATTGATAGATGATACTGAGTCATTAAAATATGAAATCTTGTTCTTTTTGACAACGTGGGTGGAACTTGAGGTAAGTAGGCTAAAACACGGACCTGAGAGACATTCCATAGGTGTTTTCAATCATATGTGGTTTATTAATAACTAGAGTAAATAAACTAGCAAAAATAACAATAAAAATTAAATGAGATTTGGTGAAAACTATTGTGGTTATTGAAGGGAAAAAGAGGAAGGTTAGGAGGAATGGGTAGAAAAGTAAATTTTGGTGAAATGGCACTGGAACTTTGGTGGTGATGGTTTCAGTAGTATTATATGTAGATACTTATAAAACTACTCGTGAATTTCTAATGTTTTTGTAACCAACGGCCCTCCAGTTGATCGTCGATTTGCTCGAGCGGGCCCAGTAACGTCTCCATTGGAGACTTTGTTGTTACTGTGTCTGGCATATCGAATACTCAGTAGCTTGCCAGGCTCTCCGAGAGGGGCGGAGGAATCGAACTTGGGTCGGCCATGTTGGCCACGTGCAAGGCAGACGCCCTACCCGCTGTGCTATCGCTCCAGCCCATTGTTGTAACCAATAACAAATAAAATATAAGTTTAGAATGATTTTATGAATATATGCATTTTAATAAAAATAGTTTAAAAGTATTTGCCTTTCTGTAGCCTAAAAGCTGCATTATAACCAAACCAAAATGATATCAGGTGCTTTAACTATAGTATAGTCTGATAACTTAAATGATCACCTTCAAAGTAGGAAATAGTCATGTTGAAAAATGTCTATTTTTCCCCTGTGCATGAGAAACCATCATTAATGATATCATAAACCACAGAATCTCAATCAATAGAACATTTTTAAAGTCACCACTATGGATATTCAAGCCATTCATTGCTAATGCAAATATCTTTAAATTCCAATATGTGACAAACAAGACAAAAACATTTAACAGAAATATCCGATATATATATATATACATATATATATTTGCTTTTTGGGTCACACCCGGTGATGCACAGGGGTTACTCCTGGCAGTGCTCAGGGGACCATATGGGATGCTGGAAATCGAACCTGGGTTGGCCGCATGCAAGGCAAACGCCCTACCTGCAGTGGTGTTGCTCCAGCCCCTGTTTTTCTATATTTTTATGTTTTTCTAAGATCTGGAAAACAACAAAATAAAGTGAATAACATAAATTAACATATTTTGTGATGATTTAACATTTATATTAAATTATAATAAAAATCAAGTGGAGACTCAAAATCCAAGTTCTAGTCTTTAATACTTGGGGGTCACTAAAAGCTGGTGATAAAGAACCTCCCACCTTAATCTTTGGATTCTGCTTCCCAATTAGTAAAACAGTATCCATTTGATTACTAGGTATAGGCTGCTTGAATATCACGTGAACAAAATAACTCAGAGGCAACATGTAGGGTTACCTGAAAGAGAGACTTGACTGATAAGTACAGCCCATCAGGTGTACAACTACTTTTGCCTAAAAGAGAAGCACAATCATTGTGTACTGATTATCCAAAATGCAATTTTATTCACTTTGACACAGATGATTTTTACAGTTCAAATAAAATATCTGATGCACAATTTTGAGTTTTTAGCAGCACCCGCAACAAGAAGATTGTGGAATGCCTCAGGGTAAAATAGAGATGGCTGAGGCAGGCACAAAGTAACCTGAAATTAATCCACTGAAGACAAACAAAATCTGAGGTCCGCTGAATATCCAATACACGAAAACAAACTAAATAAATACTTTAATGGACCACTGGAAAAACAGCATAGTTCCAATTAAAAATATCTTCTTTAAAACATCAAGTGTTCATTTAAAAAACACCTACTGAAAATATTGCACTGTACATTTTCAATTTCACAGTCAATTTCTAAACCTATATACATAGTTCCTGGTACTCACAGATTTCAACTTTTGGTGTTTTTTAATCTTACTCAAACTATGTCAGCACCCCACTGAATGTGATTCACCAAAAAGTCATTGTTTGGTCACTTAATATTAAGTGCTTTCATTAAGATAACTGTGTTGTGATTTGGCAGAAAAAAATTGGTATGGCACATAAGGGGCTTCAGTTCACCTATTAATAAAATTAACACTTGTCTTGGATGGACAGGAGGTTTATGAATGGGCTACTCACATAATTTTTTTTACTCAAATGACCACATGCCATTCTATAGACAAATACTTTTGTGAGTGGATGAAAGTTTTTTGAAGGCCTGAGATCTACAAATAGAAACTAGTATAAGCAGAGTGCAAGTAGAAAGAGAAGGCCCCAGGTCTCATGCACTTATAAACAATTAGCATTTAACAGTTTTGACATATAGATTTTCACCCTAACATAACTGTAGCAAAATGATCATAAAACTTGGAAACCAAGTGCAGCTGGCTATAGGCATTGGCAGCATAGGGACCGAAACTTAAGAACTGTGGGGTCCCTGGGCTGGCTTTGATTTCTGACATCAAAGTTAGTTGGTCAATGGGGTCAAGGCTATATTTAGATTGGGAATATTGAGCATGACTGGTTGAAAAACTGCACTCCACTTGTTTGCCCCAAAAGTCCCAGAGCTCTTAAAGCACATAAAGTCCCATTTATAAGGCTGATTCCATTAAGTGGCTACAATGGAGATTTCTAGGCTGTATTCCTGTGAAAGTTCCTGTCCCCTTCCTATCTGAGATTTCTTTAGGGCTGTCATTTTTAACTGTCCCTCACCACCTTAGGTCACAATTTTATCATAGATGTTTTAAAAGTACAGAGTAAAAGCTATGCAAGACAAACAGATAAACCAATAGGAACAAGACTCTATATCCATAATATAGTATATAGCTGGCAGTCAAAATCTGGCTAATTGCATTTGTATTTTAATATGGTATCATCAGGATTCTGGTATCAGGGCAAATAATAATTACTCAGAGTTTAATATTTTTACCATATCTATTGTGAAAGCAAAGGGAGTGCTCTGTAATTGCCGTTAAATGTTGATCTCAGAACAGTTTGAGAATTTTTAAAGTTCCTTTCTATAGTCTTAGGCTGTTGTCTTGAGATATATCTAACTGTAAATGACACTGAGATGTAGTTTGTAGTTCATAGCTTTGTAGGATTTATACTGAAAATCTATCCAGTACAGAAATTCTTTCTATGGTATTTTAACAGGTGTCATCCAGCAACTTCCTGAATATATTAACTGGAAGGCAGTTCACTATTAAGGCAGTCCATTCAACTGCTGGACAACTTATCTAGCCTAAGAACGAATTTCTTATAATTATAATGTCTGCTCTCTTGTCACTTTCAGTATAGTATTTGACTATATGAACATAAACTGCAAAATATAAGAAATCTGTTCCTTCTACATTATTTGAACTAAAGAACCTTGTAAGTAAAGCCCCAAATTCCCCAATCTATCATGAAAGCTTCTCTAGGAGCACAGCCTGGTGGACCAAAGGGTCATCAAAACTATGAGCAAAGAGCACTGTATCCAAAGCCATATATTAAGCAGCATTGCTAAATTGATAAGAGGTTGTCAGAGAAGCAATATCCCTATGCAGCAGAAGTAGACTTATGAAGTAAAAGCAGCAAAACCAACCATTTAATGTGCAAAGTGGTTGGCATATTTAAGCATAATCAATTAGTACCTTGTTACATCAAACACAAGGAGTAAATTCAACTTCCAGTGTCATCACTGTGTGTTTTGAATAAGACAGTGTTCAATGTGGTATGTTTCTGAAAAGCTCGGAAGGGAGCAAACCATAAATAGGAAATTAAACAAGGTACTGTACATTATTATACTTTTGCATTCCGAATAATTACTATGTCTTTGTTTAAGAAACCTTTGTTTAAATTATTATGTACTGTAATACACCTTAGAGTCTTTATTCCTTTGGCAGAAATGTCAGAATCTGCTTGGCAAGAGTTGATGGTGACATTTGTTAGTTGATAAATAAAACACTTTAAGGGATAGCTGTCACTCTTTAACTCCTTCATGCGGCTGGGTTCTAAGTTTAAACTGTTATTTGAAAAATATTTAAATCACTCAGGACTACAGCTTTCTGAAACATCCTGACACACACAAGGAGGAAATAGCAGAAGTCACACAAAATATACTCGATAAAGCTTTTTTAAAAAATCGCTCTACAACTTCAACTTGAAAGGATTTGATTCACAACTTCAACCTATCTCTTATTCTTTTGTGTGTGTATGCATGTATGCGCTCACACATTCTTACAGAGACATGGTTATTCTTACACTACTGACCAATTTGGAAGACAGTTTTCAAAGGCTTTCTATTTTTAACAGCATGAAGATCCTGCTTTGGAGCCACTATTCAAATCAATAGTGTGACCTAACATGCAATGCTCCAGTTGTTCCTCTACAGCCAGCACCTGCCTGACAGCTTCTTCAAAGGCCACAGTCACATTAGTATCATCTTTGGCACTTGTTTCTAGATAAGGGTAGTCCCCATTCTCCGTGCACCAGGCTTGTGCCTCCTCAGTAGTTACTTGCCTATCCTCTTTGTCTACCTTGTTACCAAGAACTACAAAAGGGAAGTTCTCAGGGTCTTTCACATCTGCGTAGTAGATGAATTCTTTCTGCCAGTTACCAAGGTTCTCAAAGCTCTGTCGGTCATCCACACTGAAGGTCAAGAGGCAGCAGTCTGCTCCCCTGTAGAAAGGTGTCCGAAGGCTCTTGAAACGTTCCTGCCCTGCCGTGTCCCATATCTGGAGTGTTACAAAACGCCCATCTACCTCCAGATCTCGATTTAAGAACTCTACCCCTATGGTGTGAAAAGCCTGGGAGTCAAATTTATTGGTTACATAGCGATTCATAAGTGAGCTTTTCCCAACTCCACCATCACCTAAGAGAATGACCTTTAAGAGCAGGGATTTCCCACTCATTGTTGTAGCACCAGGAGAGGAGTTGTTTATAATCAAGAGGACCTGCAAATAAAAGAAAAGTCAGAGAGAAAACAGTTAAATCTGAAACTTAAATGAACCTCAGAGTAAATGTTATAATTAAAAGGTCTTCTAATATAACTTTCTCTGATTCATGGTCATTAAGTGATATACTATCGTAGAAGGAATATAACACTTTTTGTCTAATAGAAAAAACAGGTTTGATTTTTCTGAGGTCTCTTGACTATCTGGAAAATGGCTGTATGTCATAGATAAAGAGAATAGCATATAGTGCTGTAATTAGGTTCGGTTCTGATCCTATTTTAGTAGAGTCTGGAAAAGGAATGTCATTCATACTAGCTTCTGATTTGGATAGTTCCAAACAAGAGGCAAATGGTATAAAATTGATTGCAGTTTGTTCATGATGGACTTATGAATTATGGAGAGAAAGCTGGATAAGCTGTATTTTTTATTCTGTCAGTAGAGTTTTGGCCTAGGATTGGACTGAACCTTAGAACTTGGGAGAGAGAAAAAGGTAAAGTTTCATCATGCATTTGCCCCATTTACTTGCCTGGATACAGATATTATCACAAGTAAAGAATCTTCCACAGGGCCTGGAGCAATAGCACAGTGGGTAGGGCATTTGCCTTGCACTTGGCAGACCCGGGTTCAATTCCCAGCATCCCATATGGTCCCCTGAGCACTGCCAGTAGTAGTTCCTGAGTGCATTAGCCAGAAGTAATCCCAGTTCATCACCGGGTGTGACCCCCCCAATAAAAAAGGAAAAAGAAATAGTCTTCCACAGTCTTTTCTTTATGAAACAATGACACTTAAGCTGATGATGAACCATTATAATAAGCATCATTCAGATAGAAAATATTAAATAGATTACTAAATTTTCATTCAGGTTCTAACTTCTCAGTATCACCAGCAAAAACATACTGTTAACTCTAAAGTGCTAATAATTATACAGTATTCTTTTGGCATTTTCATAACATATCTATATATGGGGTATCTAGAGTGCAACATAAAATAAGAAATCAAATATTTGCTACACAACGATATTGTGTCAGGGAAACACAAATCAAAGCAATAATGAGGCATTAATTTGCAGCAGTAGGAATGTCATATATCAAAAAAATAACTGGAAGCCACAAATATTGTTGGACTTGTCATGTCAATAAAATCCTTATTCACTGAGTTGGAATGTCATCTGGTCCATATGGCAAACAATCTGAAAATTTTTCAAAAAGTAAGAATAGAGGTCCCATTTGACCCAGCTATCCCACCTAAGAATACAAAATGTAAAAACATTAATTTGAAAAGATATACGCACACCTGTGTTTACTGCAGTTCTCAGTACAATATATAGGATATGGAAATAACTAAAGTACCCAACAACAGATGAATGGATAAGGACTTTGTGAGACAATGTGCAGCCATCAGGCCAAAATGAAGTCATGCAGTTTGTGGCCACTTGGATGAAATTGTAAGTTATCATACTGAGCAAAATAAGCCAGAGTCAGAGGAACAAAAACAGATGATCTCACTCATCTGTGGCATATAGAAACAAATCAATGGTACGGACAATATCAATCAATAATAAATCTTGTATACTAAAATGTATATATAGACCTGTGAACAACAGATTTGGGATAAGTGAAGGGGAAAATAGTTTGCTGGGAACATAAGTGTAGTGTCTCCAACACACAGAAAGTGCCCTAGTAGTAGTATCAAAAAATAATGGGGGAATGCCTGGGAGCTAGGGGAGAATGTTGAACGGAACGTGACTTAGGGATGGAAGGGAGGTTCTGGGGAATTTTGATGATGGGAGAATACATTAACTTTGTACATTGATGCCAGAAACTTGACCACTATTATAACACTATCACACATAAACTATAATAATTTTTTTTAAGTTTCAAGTTCCGATTTTTGTCCACCCTACCACCTCTGCCCCTGCTTTCAAATTGCTCTTTAGAAGTAGCACAAGTAATTAACATGTATTTAAATTGAGATGAAACACATTTACTTTTCTACATTGGTCTGTAAAATTATTTTATAGAGCAGAATTTTTGTTTTGCTTTGGGATAGTACCCAATAGTGCTCAGGGATCACTTTTGATGGTGCTCGAGGGACCATATCTGATGTGGGGATAGAACCTAAATTGGCTGCATATAACCATGCAACACAAATGTCTTAACCCCTATACTATTTTTCTGCCCCTCCGCAGAGCATTCAAGAAAAGTAAGAAAAATGAAAAGTTAAAAAAAATGTAAATGATGGAGAATGGGCACTGGTGGAGGGATGGGTACTGGATCATTGTATAACTGAAACCCAAGCACAAAACTTTGTAAGTCTACAACTGTATCTCATGGTGTTTCACTAATAAATAGTAAAAAAATGTTTGGGCACCTTACCTATAGAACTGAAGTCCTATGCCAAATAAACTAAGTTCCAAGAATTCACATCATTAAATGACTTAATAACTCAACTTTCCCAGATGTGGATAAGGTTCAAATGATGGTTTAAGGATTGAGTGAATATGGAAATCAAATATTCAGCTCCAGAAACATTGAAGAAATGTTTGTAGCTATCTGAGATAATGATGCATCTGCTTATGTATTTCCTATTTGGTTCTGTGCACACATGATTTCTGATATATATATATATATATATATATATATATATATATATGCTTCTTGCATGAACAAAAAGAGGAAAAGCAACGTGTTTCCATAACAATTTCACTGAGCTGACTGCAAATAAAAGATAAATGTCACCATCATTATGGCATACATTAAATTTATGAACATAGGAAGTCTATGTTTTCTGTTTCAATATCTTTTAAGATGAAATTTGAGCTGATAGTGCTACTTCACTCAGAATTTGGGGGAGGATGATTAACTTTGCAAGTTTTCAAAGATTTATGTGTTTACTGAAATTAGGTTTGAGAGTTTTGCCCTTTTTGCTTTTCTACTTCTTTTCATTCATTGGTGGGTGCCCTCTGGCTTAGTATTGATCCTTCTCAGAAAGGTACTGAAAGTGATAGTCTAATGGATTCTTCTTTATCCTGTCTTCGATATAGAAGAATGACATTCTGTGCATCTGTATTCACAACAGAATCTCAGCACTTGCAGGGACTTAGGGATCTTCCAGTCCAATTATGCTATGGATCAATGAGGAAACATTTTAGTCTCTATTCTGTGTTATTTCCTTTTGAGATGACCTTTAACTTTCCTTTGCTGTTTTTAATTCCCATTTGTTTGCTACAGGTATAAATGAATAAAGTTTAAGTTTATATACATATTAACTCATTCATATTTTTGTAGCAATATCAGTTTCTACTCTTCTGCCCTTAGACCTAATTTGGCCCACATCTGTGCATATAATCTATTGCTTATGGCTTTTCTTTCTCCATCTAACCTACTGAAGGACTTCATTGCTTGAGCACACTCTGGAGTAGACATGCTGGAATTGCATGCAGGCTTAAGACTGGCTCTATCCTTCAAAGATTTTACAAATGACATAAAGTTAAAGATATAATGATATAAATTGAAATTATACCATTATACTGTCTTGTTTTGTTGGCAAACCTTTTTTGCAGAACAATATGAACAATATTTCAATTTCTGGGTAGTAAGGTCCTTGTAACTATATATGTTTTTGAACCCCCTTCAGCATGCAGCACCAGAGTCTTCCATTTGAATGATCAATACATATTTGATTATTAATGAACTGGTGGGGTAGGTTCACAGATTAATGCTTATTAAGTGATGGCCAATAGAGCCAAAGTTCTTGAAGATACACAAGCACTATTATTTATAAGGAGACTAAAGAAGCAGAAGTTATGGATTTATATGGATCACTTTCTAGATAAGATATAGCAGAATTTATACATTTTGAAAGTCAAAAAATGCTTAAATTTTGCTTCCTTTACCCTCACATGAATTATATATATGTATATATATAAATTTCTCCATTCCCACAAAACACAAGAGTAAAACAATTATCTCCACTTTATGATTGTATTGGATATTGATATCCCCATCACCCCAGCACCACTATCATCATCATCATCATCATCATCATCATCATCATCATCATCATCATTTGGAAAGTAGTGTGACATCTATTACCACCACATACTTTAAATAGTGCAGTAATAAATAAAATCAAACATTTTCTCCCTAGAACATGCCAGATTTATGTCAAACCTATAAAAAGTAGCACTGAATACTCCAAATAATTGTTTGAAAACCCTAAAAACACTTCATGGGAAAATCAAATCTCTTATGTCTCCCGTATGGATGCCCAATAGGTTAGGATTTGGATTAAATGCTTTTGTTCTGACTTTGGATCTGTTCAGAGAAAGGTCTGACTTAATGTGCTCAAATATTCTAAAGGTACAATCACCCTTTCCTACTCAACCCTCTAAAGTAGATTAACAAATATTTTTTTAAGGATACTTCATTCACTTCCCCTACCTCCATAATGATCTACGTCTTGTGAAGCAAGGCTAATTAACAATTCATATAGCCAATACTCCCTTTCTTTGTTCTTCAACATACTTAAAATCCTGACTCTGTTATGTCCACACCCACACAGACTTACTACAATTATTGTATTTAATTCAAGATGCTTCAGGATGGGATTGGAATTGAGAGAGAAGGCAGTGCAACAAAAAAAGAAAATAGGATCATTGAAAATAGTACCTTTAAAAAAAAGGCCTGCTTTATTTCTTTTTTGCTTTTTGGGTCACACCTGGCGATGCACAAGGGTCATTCCTGGCTCTGCACTCAGGAATTACCCCTGGCAGTATTCAGGGGACCATATGGGATGCTGGGAATCAAACCCGGGTCGGCCACGTGCAAGGCAAATGCCCTACCCGCTGTGCTATTGCTCCAGCCCCGAAAATAGTATCTTTTAAAGTAATAATAAATAATAGGTGAAAAAAAGCAAATTGGCAAGCTTAGTTCCATTAACATGAACGGAAAGATGCTAATATCCATAGTGTTGACTGTTTGGGACCAAGTCTTTTGATAGATGTGTACTGCAGGGCAGAGCATGGGAAATAGCAAGAAGGGAGAGAGAGGCAATGACAATCTGCACAAGAGGAGCCATAGCTGAAGTTATGGGGAAAGCTCATCTTGTGGTTAGAGCTATTCAACTCATTGTTCAATCCTACCAGAATATTTAGAAATACTGCACTGAAGAACCGAGTGGGGCTTTCTTTAAACTTCAGAAAATCAATCTAAGTAAGAAACTGTTGACTCTCCGAGTCCCTCTCATTTAGATGCTGTAGATTGTTTCTGAGACAACCTGATGCATGATGAATGTGTGGGTTCTAGGCAAGGGAAGCCCTTTGACACACTGCATTCATTTTGGAGACCTAACAAGTTGTCTGCTGTACCCATGCTCTGAGTTCCAAAAGTCACCGCTGTCATGCTACTGAAACACTATCACCATACTCATGC